CAGGGGGCTGCAGCCCTGGGCACTACCTTTGGGAGTTACTACGGGGTGCAAAAATAGTGTCACTGCCAGCAGCCAGCACTGCTTGGTGCAGAACCACTGTCTAGGATGCAGCCTTTGAGATCAGAGGTTCTAGCTGCAACTATGAGTATCTTCTGATTTCCGATTTCTCAATAAGTGCTCAAGAAACATGTTTCAGCTACCCATATGCTAAATAAATCCAAACAGACTTTAAAATTAATGGATGAAAAGCTTTCAAAAAGGGACAAATATATTAACAAACCCACCATTAACTGACCCCAAAAGAAGAGATGGTAAAGGTTCATCCAGGTTTGATGAACTAGACATGGATGCTCAACCTTTGGCCTGTGAGCCAAATGCAGCCCATGAATGCAATACATTTAACTCACAGGGCTCCCCACAGGTTGGGAAATTTGGCAGCGAGGGAGCAGTGGCCATGAATACAGCCACTTTCTGCACCACCCCCCCAAATTCCCAAGCCCCACATGCCCAGTCAGAGTCAGGTCCTGATCCCTTCCCCCTGGAAGGCTGGGCCACACACCCCTTTCTCCAAAGGGCTGGGTTGGGGCCAGCCACAACCCCTTGCCCTCCATAGGACTGGATTGGGGCCAGGTGATGCCTCCTTTTTCCCAACAGGGCTGGATTGGGGCCAAGCCATACCCCTTTTCCTTCCCACAGGACCAAGCTATTCCCCCTTCTCTCACTGGTGGGCCCAGGTAAAGCCCCATTCCCCACTTGAGGGGTCAGGCTGCCCCTCAGCCCCCCTACACATGGTCAGATTGGCTGGACGTGGACCATCTAGCCCACGGTCGAACCAGGCACTGCCCATCCAGCCTGCTGAGGAAAAAGGCTGAGCATCACTGGACTACAGCAGTGGTGCTTAACCTTTTGGCTGCACAAGCCAGAGGAGTGGCATGGACCCCATCTGTGGGTCCACCAGGCCCCAGGCCTGGCACCACCCTCTCCCTGCCCCATGGTCCAGGACTGGGCCCTGGGGCCCAGCACTGCTCTTTTCCTGCCCCATGCACCAGGATTGCGCCCCAGGGGCCTAGCACCACGCCCTCCTACCCCACGCACACCAGGATTGTGCCCTGGGGTGGCTGGCACTGCATTCTCGTGCTCCCTGTGCACTGGAGGCACATCCCCAGATCTACCACCTCCCAGGCTCCCACACCAAAATTGGGCCTTGGGACCCAGCATCACCCCTGCCCAGCCTGAGTGCTGGGATTGGGCACCAGATCCAGCACACATGACCCAGGGCTCCCCAACGGGCCGGAGATTTGGCAGCAGGGGAGTGGTGCCACCGCTCTCCCACAGCCATATTTCTGAACCTATGGGGAGCCCCACGGGCCAGATGGCACAATGCTGCGAGCTGGATTTGGTCCATTGGCTAGAAGTTGAGCAACCTGGGACTAGAATATTTCAGAGTACGTTTCCTGAAATAAATTTACTGAATTTCTGCTGCATGTTAGTGTGACTGACAAGATACAGACACCTAGCATTAGAATCATAGAAAGTTAGGGTTGGAAGGGACCCCAGGAGGTCATCTAGTCCAACCCCTTGCTCAAACCAGGACCATCACCAACTAGATCATCCCAGCCAAAGCTCTGTCTAGCCGGGTTTTGAAAACCTCCAAGGATGGAATTTCTACCACCTCTCTGAGTAACCTGTTCCAGTGTTTTACTACCTTCCTAGCGAGGATATTTTTCCTAATATCCAACCTAAACTTCCCTAGGTACAACTTGATAACAGGATAGTCAAGTTAAATACATGCATAAGTAGATGCAAAATTTGGGCCAAAGACAGTTAGCTCTTTGGGACATAAACAGTCTTTATTTATTCTAATTTTTGAACATCAAATAGAAGTGTATTTTTGTTCCAGACACAGCTATGTGGAAAAAAGAGGACGTTCAGGTCATATATCATCAATATGATTGTCAAATGAATTCAAATTGCAGCATCCTTATTAGAAGGAGTAGTGACAGTAAGGCAGAAAGAAGCTAGGTTAAATTTCACAACCCAGCTTGAGCTCGCAAAGTTGTCCATTATGAAAATTACCTTTAAAAAACAGAATATATTTAATTTTCATAAACATTAAGCATTAAATACTAGGATTATATTTTAATAGTCCTAATTAATCAAAATGTTTGAATAGATGCCTAACTTTGAGATTTTGAATAGTTTCACTGACTTCTGTGATGCTAGTCCCATGGTCAAAGTTAAGAAAACATGCTTAACCATCTTCTCGAATCAAGAAAATAGTCATTTTTCCCAGTCTTCAAGTGATATCCTATTCTACATATCCTTTCCATAAGGATATTGATAGAAACCCAACACTTGTTTTAGAGACGCATTTGTAAGGCCTGATATTAATGGAAATGTTTTCATTCATGTTCTCTAGTAATATTTTGAATGAAAATATACTTTTGCTTAGCTTTCAATGTTATCTAACATGGATAATATTTACTACCCAAGCACTGTAACCCAAATATTGCAATATCATGTATAACTGGAAAGTTAAAAAATAAGGAAGAATCAATCAGCTTTTTCATTGTCCCAGATGAGTACCATGCACAAACATCAGTAAAATATATGAAAACATTGTTCCATTTCAATATTTATGTAATGATGGGTAAAACTGGTGAGTATTTTTAACTGTAATATTCCATCTAACATTGTCTCTGAAAATCTAATTTTTTGAAGAAAGCAAAAAGGAATGGTTTCATTTCTCTTTTTTGCCCCATAATTCATTGATTTTGTAGAAAGGATCCCAGACACCTGTTATTAACTTAGCAGTCTAACGCCTCATGGCTGGACACAAGCTCTTACTGTGACCATTAATACATTTTTCTAGTATCAAAAGGTCACACAGGGAATCACTGGAATTCCATGTATTCTGCCCTACGCTGGAAAAAGGAATGTGCTCTACATGTCCATATTAATTTCCTTAAAACTATTTCCAAATATCTCCACTCATACAAATGCAGCCGACAAATCCTTGTCTAGCACAAGTGGTGTTTAAAACAAATAAAATAAACGCCTTATATAATATTTGCTGGACACTCCACATTCAAAGTACTGTACAAACAAGCTAGGGGAAGCTACACTTAAAATCAATATGTTTGTTTCTTATCATTCATTTGAGTAACTTTCTACAGAATTAACACGCCAAATTATAAACTCCTTGGGGGAAAATTTAATACTGGGTCACTGTAAAACACCATGCACATATCAAATATATAAATAAAAATATGTGCTAATATATAAATAAAATAAAATAAAATGACTCTTCACTCACATATTAGCAATATACTTTATTTCTAAAAATAAAGAAAGGAAAGAAGAAAAATAAAGGATAGTATGCTGTGCATGGGGCAGAGAAGGGTTAATGCCACTCTTCGCAGTATTATCTTCTATTAAATCCCATATCACAAAATTTGAAATAAAGGATTTTAATAACTGTGATTCACAAATGACTTATTCTGATGGCAGGAAGTAATTCCTGGAATACTTTCATAAAAAGCCCTGTACTAGACAGAAAAATAAAGTGCCTGAGACTAGCTGTACCATCAGACTTTCTAATGCAAACATCACCAAACATTAGCCTTTCTAATACAAATATCATTGTCTTTTCTCTTCCGCATGAAAGCCTACACACTTCTGTGCGACTCCCATGAGCTGCCTCTAATATAAGCAGCAAAAACAAGAGCACGATCCTTTGGAATGAAAAGGGAAAAAAATTCAATTCAAGGGGACTTAGCGATTCAGTCTATAAAAATTCTCTTGATACTCAATATATTAACTAGATAAACCCTCACACACACAAGTCCCAGGATAGCTGATTTTGAGAAAGTTGTAGCTTCAAGGCTAAAGTGAAAACCAGGAAGACACTGATAAACCAGTGTGACTGTGGGCAAGTCGGGCTCTTTATGCTTCATTCAACATAATGGCAAACAAGGCAGGACTTCATTGGAAAAAGAAGAGAAACCATACCAATGATATCTCCCGATAAAGATAGAAAATGTCTACTGATTTGTAATCAGCACGAGCAAAGTCATTCTCTCATTAAAGACAGTTTCAAGGTTCGATACTAAAATGATCTAAATGTCCTTTATGCAACTGCAGGGCATGAAGCAGGTCTCAAGTTGCACAAGTGTGATTAAGATAAGATACTCCAAGTCTCTTTTAGTGGATGGGTTGCAAGTGTTTATTGAACCTGATTCCTTCCCACACACAAACTTGATGCCACAGCAAATTTGTTGCTGCTTCTCAGCTATCTCAGTCAAAGAACCCCAGACCAAAATGCAAGGATGCTAGTCTGAGAGACAAAAACACTTCAGGGAAGGGGTCTGTACCTTTAAGAGTTCTGTACAACACCATGCACCTTTACAAAAGCTATCTATATGATAACCATGTTTCTCACAAACTCAGCTGACAATTTAGTTGTGGTCAATGTATTTTGCATGATGTACAAAGGGAATTTGAAAAGTTGGTTAAGCAGGAAAAGGTTCTAACTATGATTCAATACAGTATTTTTTAGGAAAGAAAAGACTAGTTTGTGATCACTTCTCTGTCGAGTATTATGCATACCAATGTTTATCCTGTGTGATCTGTTCCTTGTGCCAGAAAAAGGAAAAAGAATGTAGAATGCTTAAAAGTGAAAGTAGTCTATCATGTACACATCCTCTTCTCTAGCCTGCACCTCCTCACTCCCCTCACCTCCCTCAATTTATACTCAATATGCAGCACAATCATTTACTCACAGCCCTGAATAAGCAGACTGAACAAACAAACACACACAGCACTGCGTCTGAATTGGGTTCATCTGCTTTTCTTCAGCCTGGCAAAATTCAAAGTAAGGATGAAAAGAAAACAGTGGAAAAGCACGTTCATCTGCTTCACATGGTTGCTCATCCTTGAATGCATCGCTTTAAATTCTTCTCCCCTGTGCACAAAATTGCCATGTGTTTAACTGTACATACCTGCCACTCTGGTCTGTGGTCCACGTAACTGATCTTCCCTCTGGCTTTGTTTTGTAACAGATCCTTATTGCACGAGGAAAGTCTCTTGGTATCCGAATCCCTGCCTTCCTTATCTCCAAGCTCCAAGTGCTAGTGGTAAACAGAAGCTCTCCACAACCAGGCGCCTGGCTGCAGCAAGTGTAATAGTAGAGCTGTTCCTCCCACCGATCTGCAGGTAAAGTCACAAGTTCATGTACAATCTGATTCCTGAGATTTCCCAGCTCTTCTGAACCCTCAGTTAGCTTGGCAGACCTTGTAAATTTTTCAATACCTGGCACAGCAGCAACATCCACCTCCTCGACCTTTAACACACATAAATCACAGCAGTCCAATACCAGCAGAAAATCCTCACTCCCATGATTCTCTATGTCACAGCACTTCTTTGAACTAGAAATCCCAGAAGCCTGTGCCCTGTTGCTATGGTTACCATTTTTATCAGAAGTATCTTTTTCACCTTTACCACAGACAGCAAAATCATTATATCCAGTTTTAGATGAGCAGGCACTTGCATTTGTCACAGGAATGTGGCAGAGTTCAAATGCCTGAATTTTGAAGGTTTCATCTGACCGTGGATGGCAGGCTCTTTCCACACTACTGCCTACTTTCCTGCAACTGCTTCCAGTCTCAAAGAAGAGAACTATGCTGCCTTCAATAATTTGGCTTTTAAAATCCACATCCAAGTCCAATACATAATGCTTCATCAGCATGTGGCTAGTGTTGGCCATTAGGGGCAAATCATCCTTACTAGGGTCTAGCTGTGTCTCCATGTTCCAGTTGGCTAGGCAACAGAGTTACCAATTCTTAATCGCTTCTTATACAACATACTTCCAGTAACAGCCAGGGTGTTCAGCCTCCCAGTGCTATAATCGTTGATTAATATAAGTTAGTATAAGGAACTGCTGTTTCACCACTTCTCTTACTCTGTAGAGAGGAAAACAGAGAATATTTTAATCAAGTGCAATGGGTATATTACAAAGTTATCTACCTTCCTCTGCTAGTAAAAATTCAAAACCTAAATTCCTATACTGTGACACTGAGCCTGTTACCCAAGAAAGGACTTCAGGCTTTGATAGCTAGAGTAGCAACCAGACTAATTTATCAGACAATTACAGAATATGTCAGAAAGAAACAGTTTCTAAAAATAATAATGTTTACCAACACAGAAGGATATAAACTTCAATATAGCCTTACTAATGACAGTCCTCTTTTCGGTCCAACACTCAGGAAAAGAAAAATTGCTATGCAAGACCAAACTTATTACCACATATCTTGTTTTTAAAAATGCTAAATGCATTGTTTCTAATTCCTTGCCTGAAATGAAGGTGATTTTTTTTCTACTGTGATTCTAAGTAACAAGTGTGAATGAAAGCTAAATGGTCTCATATGTTTTATACTTTGAGAGTAATAATTTAATACATACAATGTAACTCCAGGGATTAATGTACTTTTCACATTATGACTGCTCTCATATCAGCACTTCTAGTAAATTACAAGAAAATGAGCCAATTTACTAGAAGTGCATTCTAAGTATTCCTTTGAGATTGCTCATGGAGATTTTTCAAATTTATACTTAAATACTCAAGGTATATCATTACATCTTAATAGCTAGAAACCCATTAACATTCTGGATAATAGCCTTCTTATGGCAAACAAAAGGTCTTTTCACTGGAAAGGAAAATATGCAAATACCTATAAAAAGGAGAAAAATTAAAATGCATCAACATCTGTCACAACAAAAAGGTAGAAGTTCTTCATACAACTTTTGAACCATTATGGATTTTTTTTGTTGCACTATAGTGATCAAGCTAACATAAAATTGTACAAAATAGTTTAGCTCACTGATGCTTTCTTTGCTGAACCAAAATATTTTCTAGCATATATTATATTCTATTTCTATCCATGTACTGAGTATGTGTATCAAGAAACCTCAGGATAAGAAAATAAAAAAAAAAAACTCTTAACTCAAGCTCTTACTGTTCCTTCTCTAGGGGAGACTATTGAATAATATAACCTCTGAACTTGTGTATGTATCATTCTTTACCTTTCTAAATGTGTTCGGTTGTTAGTTTTGGTTTCTTTTGAAACTAGCTAATTTAAATCTCTATTATTCAAGATTTTAAAAAATGAATTAAGGCATACTACACCATATTCTGGTGACTAGAAACAGAAATTCTAGAAACCCACCATTAGGACATCTAGGTCATGTTCTGTTAGGTCAGGAACACTGTAAAACAAGTATCCAAGCTCCTTTCAAAAAAGTCTACAGTGGCCAGGCATTCTTGAGGTATTGTTTCACATCCAGAAAGACCACTGACCAAGATCACCTGAGACATTTGCACATTTGTCTCCCATGCAGAAGTCAGCCTCCTCCATAGCTGCTTGTTTCTTTTGAGAGCTTGTGGAACCTCTATTGAGCTCCATGTCCATGGGAAAAGGACTAAACTGTCCTTCACAGCCTCAGGGAGACCACCCAAAATAAAAGTAGTACAGCTTGAGGCTCTATTATCTTTTCTATGACTTCCCACCTCATAGGAATATCCCTCAAAAGGAGGATTTCTCAGTCCTGGTTGCACATCTCTACTGAGCCACTAGGATGCAGGTGGCAGCAAAACCAGGCTGACCACAAGAGGCCTTTACCAGTGGAAATTCCCAGTACGTACAGAATAATTTAGAAGATACCTTTGTTGAGGTTCTCCCTGCTAGTTTCTTTCTGCTGATATTTCTATCTGAGAGAAGGTTTCCCTGTTTAATTCTTTTACTATTAATTATAACCTTTTGTGCCACTCTTGATGCTTACATACTATAACCTTTGTTGGCATTCTTGATGCTTACATGCTATGAATATTTACAAACAGTTATTGTGCTCCCCTCCCTTCTTAATTATCACTTGGACAAGCTTTCTGAACACAATCAGCTCTTCTGGAATTGAATCCTTCAACCGGATGCATTAATACAGACTCCTGAACTAATGCAGTGTCCCAGTGAAATCAATACCTTTGCACAAGTGTAGGAATTTGCCCTAGCAGATCCAAATGCAGACCTAGCTCTCTCAATTGTGGGTCTAACTTCACCATTTCCTTCCCCCAGACACCCTACTTTTATCTACTTGTTTATCTTATATGGACCCTATGACTGAAGCAGAAAGGGACTCTGTACTCAGAAAAAACAGATGGAATAGGAAAATTTGGTGAACACTGGTAACAAAAACCACATCGAGATTCAGGAAACTGAACACAGACAGAAGAGCCATGTCTTCTGTTCATCCATCAAACAATGACCCCACTCTATATCATGCTTTGTGTTGAGGCCCAACTGAAAATATAAGCAGCAGAGCCAAAAGCTCTAAATACTACAGTGTGCGCTCTAATATTGATTTTGCAGTTAACTTCATTTTCAGTCATAAGTGTGATCTGGATTTTGGTCCTAACTACCACAAACGTTCTGTCTGCCTTCAACAAATATCTTAAGTTTGGGGAGGCAGTGTTAGACAAGACAGCATTTGGATCTCCTGATGAAAACCATTATATCAAAAGTAGGAATTGTCATTATCTCTTTGCCTCAACTTTCCATACATAACATAAATTATTATTATTATCTGTACCTCACAAGGATTTTTGTATACTACAAACTATACTAAATTCTCAGCTGCTCTCATGAGGCATACCATGGACTATCCTATAATATCCTAAATGGAAGTTCTGTGCACATAGAACCAAATGTAAAGTTTAGAAGATGGATTAATGTATTCATAATTAGGAAAATGTGATTAAAAGGTGACAAAGAATATTGTATGACTTCTATTCCTGAATATGCTCTTACACTGAATTTTAATACCACTCCTCTGGTAAGACTGTGTAAACAAGATAGATGTGTTTATGTTTAACTTTTTTCTATATATATTCTTTATATGTTCCTCCCTCATCACGTGCACTCTTATTATCTTACCACCTTCCAAAATTAAAAATTCTGCACATTAAATCTCAGTCTCTCTCTTTTCTGCCCAGCCAGCAAAGAATGGATTTAGTTTATTTTGTGTTTATGGGCTTCAGGCTTGGGTTTTTGGTCTTTTTGTTTTTTTGTTTGTCTTATTTTTTTAAACAGGCTCTTACTGTAGGAAGACTGTCCAAAGCCATAGGTTTAGGGTTTTTTTCTGAAAATGCTGAGATTTTACAGCCATCCTAATATTTTCAGTGGTAATCCCAACTATATGAGCCCACCATCAAGAATGCTCTGTCCTCTGTTCAAAAGTTGGTCTCAAGACTGACATTTCCACCGCTGCAGTGGAACATGGATGCCATTTGAATCCTAGCAAATCACACAATCCACTTCACAACCTGAGATAATCTGCTGCAAGACTCTAATGAGCAAAACCAAAAATTTAAATTTGGCTCCAGTACTCAGCAGGGAAATAATGAGACAGCAGAACTTAGATTTTTAAAGGTTCAGGGTTATACCCTCAGGTACACAGATTTACAGAGGTCATAAATGCATGAAACAGGTTATAGACTTAACTCTGAGAGGTGGTGGTATAGGCCATTCATGGAATCCATTCCAGAATCAATGAGGAATCCAAACAAGCATAAAGTTGTGGACATCTCTGACAATTTGAGGGCAAAAAACTTCCATGTCAAAGCAGCACCAGCACCACCCTCAATGATTCAGAGCTTCAGTTGTTTATATTTGCCATACCATTCAGTAAAGAAGAGATTATGCCACTTGGATTTGATATGGAAGCGACGTGGGTCTGTGCATCTTCTATACATCTGCTGGTATTTTTCCATCCAGACAAATGTCCCATAGTATTACAAAAGCTTCATGTATTACAAAAACATTAAACAAGTTGGGGAGGGATGAACCACAGCATGAGTTCAACCACTGAATGGGTTCCAGAGATAACTGTTCTGGAGCAGAGAAAAAGGCTTCCAACTGTCGGAGAAATTATTCGCTTAAGCTCCCAACCTGGAAAGGGAACACCTGAGAATACTCCTGACCCCAATGGGGCTCGTTTCCCAGCTGAGACTCAAATAAGCAGGAGATGAGGGTGTGGTCTTTTCAGTTTATTCAGACGAAGGTCCCCCGACCTTAGAAAGGCAGAGGGGCCCCGGTTGCACTCTCACACACATATTTATATTCTCTGGTTACATGATATTTCGCATGCGCAAAGCTTTAGCGGAAAATTACTAGTATTGCATGACTCTTCTTCAACCTGCAGGGTAAGACCAAATAAGGCACAGGTCTGCCGTTAAGCTTGTCTATCATGCTTAGTTACTATGGGGGAAGTTGAGGGCCCCTGAAGGTACAGGCTGTGCTTCCCGTATTGCCAAAGGAAACCCCTTTCTCTGAGCATAATTTCTAACATAACATAACGCTAACTGAAATTTGACACATGTTGTGCTAGCCCCTAATACAGAAGCACTAAACTCACATTAGCAAATGAAGAGCGTATTTGTCTATCCTTGTTGCTGTGCGGGCCGGGAGTGGTCCGAGGCTTTCGGGGGCGCACAGCAGGCTGTGGCCGGGAGCCCACAACAGTAGGGCGGGGACTCTGACACGACGGATTAGAATTAGGCACGGACTCGTAGCGGTTAATTAAAGATTGTTTTACTTACACCATAGGTAGTCGCGGTGCAGGCAGGAAAAACTTTCTTGAGTTGCAGTTACAGACAAACACAAGTGGAGTTTGCTAGGCTCCACCGAAGACACACGCACAGAGTTTGCTAGGCTCCGCAAAACAAACACGACAGAGCTCTGGATACCCTTGACGAGCGCGCAAAACTGTAGATACATCTTAAGAATTTAACGAACGAGACAGGAAGAGGTTGGTGGTTGATCAGGCCGCCAAACTCCTCTGAGACGCACACAAAGTTTCTATTATTCTGCCGCATGCTCAGAGTCCCCACAAGATGGTTGTGGAGTCCTCT